GATTTGGTCCTTCCTTTCTCTCTGATTCACCAATAACAATCTCTGACACAAAAACCTCGAATTCCCAAAACCCCCGACAAAAATTCCCATGGATCCTCGTAAATTGTCAGCTCTGCTCTCTTCCCTCGTCTCTCAGCTCCTTTTACTGATCATCATCCTCTTCGATTCCAACAAAAACGACGACAACAATCACCATTTCATTGGCAACAACGCCTTTGCTATCATCCACCATTTGCTCTCCTCGCAACAAATCGCCGCTTCCCTTTCGTTCGTATCGGTTTCTCGAAAACGGAAGAGAACCCATTGCTCGGAATCTGATTCCGAGTCTGCCGGAGATGAAATCGCCTACCGCGGACTCGACCGAGTCAGGCTCGGGTTGACTCGTGATCCCGACTCGTTCAAACCGTTCTTCCGGATGAAATCATCCACCTTCGAGTGGCTCGCCGGGTTGCTGGAGCCGCTGTTGGAGTGCCGGGACCCGGTTGGTTCCCCGTTGAATCTCTCCGCCGAATTACGTTTAGGGATTGGTTTGTTCCGGTTAGCCACCGGTTCGAGTTACGCCGAGATCGCTCGAAGATTTGGGGGTATCCGAGTCCGTGACTCGTTTCTGCGCTAAGCATCTCTGCCGCGTCCTTTGCACTAATTTCCGATTTTGGGTCGCGTTTCCGAGTCCAGAGGAGCTTAACTCAGTATCCTTAGAATTCGAACAACTCACTGGATTACCGAATTGTTGCGGTGTGATTGATTGTGCTAGATTCAATATTGTGAATGAAATCAATGGCAGCATTGATAGCATTGCTGCTCAAATAGTTGTGGATTCATCATCAAGAATTTTGAGCATAATTGCAGGTTTCAAAGGTGATAAAAGTGATTCCAAGATCCTCAAATGCTCAACTTTGTGTAAAGATATTGAAGAAGGAAAGTTATTAAATTCAAGCCCATTGATTGCCAATGGAGTGTCTGTAAATCAGTATTTTACTGGTGATTGTGATTACCCTTTGCTTCCATGGTTAATGGTGCCTTTCGTTGATGATGTTGTTCCGGGGTCGTTCCGAGGGGAGTTCAATGCCGCACACAGTGTGATGTGTGTTTCAGCGTTGAAAACCGTTGCTAGTTTGAAGAATTGGGGGATTTTGAACAGACCGATGCGCGAGGAGTCCAAGACCGCCATCGCGGTTATCGGGGCTTGTTCGATCTTACATAATGTATTGCTCATGAGAGAAGATGATTCTGCGTTGTGTGAAGGTATGGGAGATTACTCGGTGCTGCATGATCAAAGCTCTCGGCAGCAGCACTATGAGGAAGCCAGCATAGAGGCTTGTGGCATTCGAGATGCATTGGCGAAACAAGCTCGTGTTTCGAGTTCGGCACAATAGTAGCTCAATTAGATTGGTTGATTTGGTTGCAGAGTCGAAAATAGTATCGGATTCGGGTCGTTTTCGGATAGCAAATTCTTTTGCTCATTTTGAAACAACAAATAATTTCATATTGGATTATACATTCTTTTCCTCCATGGCAATACCCAATGTCATGTTAGTAAGGTACCCTTCACTTCGTTTCTTGTGTTTTCTGGTCTGCCATTTGGTTCATGTAGATGAATCTGTTTCAGCATACAAGTGTACTTCTCCTGCTCTGTTAAACTTGGGCACCTTAATTCTATTGCTTCATGCATTGAATTAGCATATGATAAAGTATAAATCTCAAAATTTGTAAATCGGAGCTTAACTTAGTTCTTTTGATTCGTGCATTAAATGATAGTGTTTAATATAATTAGAGTTCAAATCTTAATATTCGGATTTATATTAAGGTTTAAGGTTTAAGAATAGAAGTCGCATTCTATCTTACATACGTAGGAAATAAAAAGAAATCACTAAATTCAATTGTCATTCTGAATTAGAAACAGGGGAGTGTTTAATGAATTGTTCATGAATATTTGCTTATTAAGCTAAAAAAACGAGTATGAATAATTTTTTTATATCTATTTAATAAACAAACGAACATGAATATTAGTGTGTTCGGTTCATTTATATTCACAAACAAGCTTATTTATAAGTTTGTTTATCATGTTCTCTTTTTCCTTTTTATTTTTTTTTCACTTTAAATATTAATGAAGTTAGGGCTTAAATTGAACAAAGTTAAATTTTAGAATTTAAAGTGTGAAGCCTAAAAAGCTTAAGGACTAGTGGTATAATTTTACCATTTTTCTTTGATTTGCAATTTGTAAATAAAAGGGTGAAAAGCAAACAAACATATTTGTGAATGCTAAACAAACTTAACATGAAAACTTTCATAAATAAATAATGGATAAAAACTTAGTAAAAATTTAAACGAAAATTAACATAACATGAATCATTTCAAAATTAAATAAACAAACATGAAAATAACTTTATTCATTCAAACTCAATTCATTCACATCTCTAATTAGAAGATTGCGACAACTTATGATTCATCGACTCGGTCAAACTCTTGATTGATTGTCATGAGTTGTGAATAATGCCCTCATTCATAGTATGCCCCTACAAATAGAGGTGGATGTAAGAATTTATATTAGGGCAAATTTATAAAATTTTAAAGGGATATGTACTCATATAATTTCAAGAATCAAAATAAATTTTTAAATAAAAAAATATACAAATTTAAAAATTTCAATAGCAACTGCTCTCACCCACCACACGATCCATCTCTACGTGCAAAATGCAAATACTACACAAATGGCTTAAAGGAAGGGGTAGTTGTCAAAGGGTTGGGTAGCAGAAAAGCTTTGACCTAAAGCAAATTGACTCAATGGCTTCACTCCCTTACTCACCAAACGCAGGTTTCAATCTTGTTTACCTTACAACAATTTGTGAGTGGAATTTGGTAAACCTCCCATTTAATTTTACCTCCCTCCCTCACACACACACATATATATTTAAATAACTTACTGATTAAAGTTAAAAAAACAATATTTTATCGGTAAATATTAATTCACATTGGATTAGAGTAGTTCGACCTAAAAATTTCCTACTAAATACAACTTTTCCTTGTATAGTATCTTGGATGAACTACACATTTAGTAACTCAACCATCACTTTTACTTCGTTTCAATCACCTAATTATTTTTGTTTCAAAATCATATCCGATGTTATGTTTTGGTTTTATTTTGGCCACTCATCGTTAAAAAATTAACAAAATTATTGACATGGCTTTTTTTAATGATGACGTGTCATTATTTTATGGTGACACATCAACATCAACGTTAATTTTTTAACAGTTGATGATCAAAATAATGTCAAAATGTAACATTATGTATGATTTTGAAACAAAAAATAGTTAGGTGACTAAAATAAAAAAAGTTACAGTTAAGGTACTAAACTTGAAGGTTACCATAGTTTTTTCCTCCTTTAGTTTTTTGTGTAATTTTTAATTTCATCAGTGTACTTTATTTTTTCGTAATCTAACCTTTGTACTCTATTCTTGGTAAATCTATGAACTTTAATAATTGATTTTTGTATATAAATTATTTGAATTGTGTATTTTTAGGTCCACAGTTTGACAAGAAAGTTTGAGAATATCATCCAATTGGATTAACTTATTTCTTAAATTATGAGGATCTAGTTTAAACAAATTAAAAGAAAGGGACTAATAATTGTTTTAAGTTAAGGGATCAAATTCACAATTATGTCACTTCCATTTTAGGGTAAAGTATAGTAATGGTCATTGAACTTTTCTAAAGCTTTCATTTAGGTCCCCTAACTTTTAATACTTGCAATGCAGTCCCCCAACATTTAGTCCGTTTGAAATATGGTCCCCCAACAGTTACGTCGGGGACCATATTGCAAATAGACTAAATGTTGAGGGACCATATCGCAAACAGACTAAATGTTGGGGGATTAAATTGAAAGTTTTAAAAGCTGGGTGACCTTAATGAAAGCTTTAAAAATTCAGTGATCATTACTATACTTTACCCATATATTATATAGAGAGAAAAAGAAGGATGGAGCATGCGGGTTAAAACATTAGATGTTACAAATGATAATAAGTCAAAATATTCAAACCTATCCTCAAGAATACTTTTGGAAGTAGAAGATATGTTTCTCCCTTCTATAACCGATCTTCAATCTCATTTGAATTTTTTAATTTTTCAGAAAAATCATTTTGTCTGTCTAAATGTTATTTCTTCTTTCAATTTCTGAATTACATGCAATAAAGAAGATAAGAATCATAATAATGTAAAATTGTGAAAAATTATACACAAGATTAATTATACACTAACATAGTGATTTTTTTCTTCACTAGATCAATTATACCTTACATTTTGAGTTTAGATCATCACTATGAAACATTTTCCCAATTTGGAAAAAGAAAAACCTTATGTGGACTTGTGTCATAAAAGCAAGTTTGACAATATGATTACATATGACCAGGCATCATTCATTGTCCTTTAGCAATATCCTACGGCAATTAGACACAAGTTGAAGGTCAAGAAAATACAATAACCCAGATCAATTTGTATACGAAAGATGTAAAATTATGTAACATAATGAGAAATGCAAACCCTCCAGGCATGGAAAACCGAAAATATCCCATTCAAATAAATAAATAAATACAAGTAACTATCAAGATTTTAGAATAATAAAACCCAAACATACCAATGTAAATATATTTAATACATATCTATAGTCCAACCTATGATTTCTACAATTTAGGAATTGGGTTTAGTAGTCAGAAAAAAAATCTATCGAGTATAGGAGCAAAGGCTTTAGTGTGCCCTGGGCATTATCAACAGCTACAGTTTGCCAACGGTAATGACCCCAAATCCTGATCCGGAAACATGAGTCTCACTCTCAAAACCCCACGATGCTTGCTTCTAATTCAGTTCCCAGAAAATTTTCCATCATAAGAAGCAATCAAAGGAAAACTTTTCCAACAAACCAACCAGACATAACTATTCCAACAAACCAACCAGACATAACAACAGACGACTACGAACAAAGTTCTCCCATACAGGGTATGTGCTAAATTACCTCTTTTTGTCAATGGACCTCAAAGGGCTATATCCTGCAATTTTAAATTCCATTAGTGCATATAAAAATCAACTGGATGGGAAAGAGAATAACAAAAAAAAAAAAAAAATTGGAAGTGAAAGAAAATGAATCAGCATTAATTCAACTCCTGAGTAAATTTTCAGAAGTAACCAAGCCAATAGTAAGATTTATCACATTCATCTCAACTTCATACTTTGTAAGCCAACAAATAATAAGCAAATGCAGAAAGGAAATGAAAGACGGGAACAACGTAGCAATATAGAAATCAAATTTTATGAGGATAAAATGCTAACCCCGCAATGTCTGTTGGTCTCTCGCGTCTCTTCTTGGAGAATATCTTCGCTCAGGAGATAGCCTTCTGTCAAGCTTATCCCTCAAGTCACCATTTCGATAGTTCCTTTTACCTGGAAATGACAATGAAATTAACACTGGGAACACAAACCACTCAAGATAATTAAACTGCATCAGGTGAAACACGCAAAGGGACAAACAAAATCAATGTTAAGCTTACCATCACATGGAACAATATGAGAAACATTATATAGAACAATAAAACTGCCTTCTTGCCAGTTTCAAAGGGAGGGCAAAAATAGTGTCCTCAGATTTGAATAGAAAAGGAAAACCTGTATGGTAGCCTATATCATTGAGATAACCGTCGAATAATGGGACTGGAAAAAAGATAGTCACCATAATCCCATCTGATTGTTGAGCAATAACAAATATATGAATTCCGAATTGAATGCTACGATATATTTCTCTCCAAATCCATATATAAGACAATATAGTATTTTGCCTGGTATGCAATATAAATAGATTTATTCTGAATGTGTCCCAATAAATTAGCATTCTTTCCCCATGCAAGTAGACAATGTCACTGAGGCAGAAGCAAGGAATTATGGAAACATCAAGTGCTCCAGCAATATGCAACCAGTAGAAGCTATGACAAATTACATACCAGAGTTGCACATCAAATCTGCCTTGCATCTCAATACTTTGTATGAACACATGTTCCGGGAAAACCTATAACAGAGCCTTCGCGAACGCCTGCTTCTTTCATGGATGCATAATGACAAACCAAGATATAGCTGAGCAGGAAAAATACCAAAACCAGCTCTAAGATTTACCAACCAGCACAATCCTTTCTGAAGAAAGACAATACTAACTTTGTCAGTGGATACTTTGTTTAAACTGAAACAACCAGGCTGACATAATGGAAAATAAGTCTCCAGAAGAAGCCTAATTATAAGTTAAAAAACTGTCAACAACTTCGGGATCCCACTCATGTTTACAAACCAAGTTGATCTGATCTGAGCAGAATCAACTATTTGTTACAAAAAATATGCAGCCAAGCCCATGCGAAGTTTCGATGAGGGAAGCAATGGACGACAAAATATTGGCCGGCTAAAAATAACATACCAGAAACATACAAGTTAAAAAATATAGCAAAAGAAAACAAATGCGGTTTAAGTAGTTCTGCCTACCTAATATCAACAAAAGATGAGGGCAGCAACAATAACAGTTTCGGTGAACTAGCAGGGAAAAACAATATTTTTTTACCTGTTCAGCAACAGACAGCAGACACAAGATGGACTTCATTTTAATAGAGCTAAACAAAATTTTTCCTATAGAATTTACAGTATTACCATCTGACATTAGCATTCAAAAACAAGAAGAAAATTTAAAGTTTAAACATTTCAATGTGTGTAGCTAAGTGCCCTTATGGAAGTATCCCTTCCTCAAAGAGATCTAACATTTTTAAGTCAGCAGGAAAAAAACATTATAAAAGGTTGGTTACAGTGTTCTCTGAAGTCTAAACTCCAAACATAAACTAGAATCCAGCAACATCTTGACAATTCATTTATGGGTAAAGTATAGTAATGGTCACTGGACTTTTCTAAAGCTTTCATTTAGGTCTCCAAACTTTTAAAACTTACAATATAATCCCCCAACATTTAGTCCATTTGCAATATGATCCCTCAACATTTAGTCCGTTTCCAATATGGTCCCCGACGTAACTGTTGGGGGACCATATTGCAAACAGACTAAATGTTAAGGGACTTTATTGCAAGTTTTAAAAATTTAGAGACCAAAATGAAAGCTTTAGAAAAATTCAGTGACCATTACTATACTTTACCCTTCATTTTTAATGAATACAGAGTACACCGACCTCTCACCAACTCTTTCATTGGCCTAACTTGTAAAGTAAACAATGATAAGGTGGATGGGTCCCATCACTAATAATAATCACCCAGTCCCAAGTTAGATTTTTTTTTGGTAAAGTACACATATTATCCTCGTATAATGTGTCAATTTTTAAGTCTAATTATCAAAATTTATAAAATAGTCCCTTAATGTACGACGATATTTTCTTAAGTTTTCTTACTATTAAAAGTTATAAAATGACCACATGACTATTCATATGTTCCAAATTCGTTCTTGTTTGTTAAAAAATGTGTGGTGGTCTGAGTTGGATATAAACATGTTAACTAAAATATGATAAAATTTGATTACATAATCGTTTGAGTTGTATTTTGTAGATTGACTCTCCATTTATATTTATCGTCGAGTCAGTGCTTGAAACATTATGTTTTCAAGACAATGTTTAAAAGCAACAACGATGCTATTAAACGTCTAACCCAGACCGCCATTGATTTTTTTAATGAAAATGAACGAATTTAAAACATATAAATAGTCAGGTGTCCATTTTGTAACTTTTAATAGTCAGAGAACTCAACAAAACAATATGATATAGTCGAAGAATCATTTTTTAACTTTTAATAGTCGAAAGACTCAATAAAGCATCATCCAATAATTAGAGGACCATTTATGTATTTTACCCTTTTAACATATCTATCAAATGACCTCAAAAAAGGAATGTTTTAGAATTTAGACGTTAGGGGTTTAAATTTAAAATTAATAGATTGTGCAAAAATGAATATAAACTTATATTTTTTAAAAATACAATTTTAATAAATATATCTGAATAATTATAATTAAAATTAACCATTATAGTATATAATCAGATTGATAATTAAAATATATAAACAAAATTTTAGATGAGATTTCAATTTAAATAAAAAAAATATTAATTCTTCAAATCCTATAAAATTAAACATACAATTTTATAAAAGAATTGATAAAATATTTTAGGGTAAAGTATATAAATGGTAAATGAACTTTTCAGATGCTTGCATTTAGGTCTTCTGATTTTTAAAACTTGCAATACAGTCACCAAACATTTAGTTCGTTTGCAATATGGTCCCCGACGTAACAGACGTTTCACTTCTGTTAGGGTAAATTATATAAATGGTCACTAAACTTTTTAGACGCTTGCATTTAGGTCCCCCAACTTTTAAAACTTGCAACATAGTCATCAATTACATTCTAAACCCCAAATTCCAAAATACTTCAATTACATTCTAAACATAAATTCCAAAAATACTTCAATTACATGACCAATCTCAAATTCATAATTCATTTTCAAAATCTATCATAACAAACTAAACTTGAAGCAACAATCCTAAACCCTCAAAACAGAACCCTAAATGCTAAATTTCCCCACCAATTAACCCAACATAATCAACAACATTTAGTTCATTTTGGGTCCATAACAATAAGTGATTATGTTGGGTTTAGGATTTAAAAGTTAGATTTAACCAACCATAAGTGAATAATACTCAATTCAATTCGAAAAATTATTTTTCGACTTGAATTGATTCAAAAAATTTGATACAATTGACTTTGAGTTGTAATTTCATAAACTCAACTTAAAAAAAATTCAAGTGAAAATCGAGTTGTAAAATACAACTCGAATATCTCAAAAATTTTCGTAAAATTTTGAGTCGACTATTTTATAAACTGAACTAAATTAGAATCAAATAATATTATAATATGATAAATATTTATAATTAAATCTAAACAGCAACTCAAAAATTCAATTCAATTCGACTTGATTTAAATTTTATAAACTCAAATCGAAAAAATTTCGAGTCAACTATTTTATAAACTGAATTGAGTATTTAGGTCTAACATAACCCTAAACCCAACATAATCACTTTTTGTTCACTTATAGTTGGTTAATTTTTTTGAAATGATTATGTTTTGAAGATTTAGGGTTGATGCTTTAATTTCAATTTGTTATGGCAGATTTTAAGAATGGATTGTGAATTTGGGGTTGGACATGTAATTGAAGAATTTTGGAATTTGAGGTTCAAAATGTAATTGAAGCATTTTGGATTTTGGGTTTAAATGTAATTGATGACTTTCTTGTAAGTTTTAAAAGTTGGGAGACCTAAATACAAGCACCTAAAAGGTTCAGTGACCATTTATATAATTTAACCTAATGGCAGTTATGTCGGGGCCATATTGCAAATAAACTAAATGTTTGGTTACTGTATTGCAAGTTTTAAAAGTTAGGAGACCTAAATGCAAGCATCTAAAAAGTTAAATGACCATTTATATACTTTACCCAATATTTTAAGCTAAAATAATTCATGGGGAATTGACCTCATCACCAAGTCATCAATTGTCATGCAATTTTGGGGATTTCACCAACCCCCGACCGGGGATGGTAGGCGGTTCGCCACCAATACTCTCGGTTCAACCGGGATTTTCAACTTCCATATAAAACCTTTGCCATTTCATATTTTCAACTCGGGTCAGCATTTCAAAGACGATCAAATCTCTCGATTTTCCAGGAAGAAACAGCTACCCTTTTTACAAAGTTCATCAGCAATGGCAACCAACAACCAAGATCAACAATCTCAAGCGGGTAGGCACCAGGAAGTCGGCCACAAGAGCCTTGCAAAGCGATGATCTTTACCAGGTATGACTGAATGAACAAACAATCTTCAAACTCCAACAATCTCGGTTTTCATTGCATGTATTGATTTTGAAAAGGTTTTTTTTTTTCTCTTTGCAGTATATACTGGAGACCAGTGTATATCCGAGGGAGCATGAACCCATGAAAGAGCTCAGAGAGTTGACTGCCAAGCATCCATGGTTGGTTTTTCTATGAAAATTGAAACCCAGTTTTCTTCTTTCATTTTCTTAAAATGATTTGTTGATTTTGATTTGATCTGACTTGGTTTTGGATTAACAAAAATATAGGAACCTTATGACTACATCAGCCGATGAAGGCCAATTCTTGAATATGCTTCTTAAGTTAATCAATGCCAAGAACACCATGGAAATCGGTGTTTACACCGGCTATTCTCTGTTGGCCACCGCCCTTGCTCTACCCGATGATGGAAAGGTAAAGACAAAATGAATCAAATCGATATATACATATGTATGTATGTATGCAGATTGCAGAGATAGACGGAAGATCTTATGTAGAGGAATAAACTTAAAAAGATATATTAGAAATCTAGAATGTAAGATTAGATCATTGATAAAAAAAAATACATAAATTAAATTTTGAAATTTTAAAAGTACGACTGACATCCTTATTCATCCCTGTATATCTTGGAAACTGAATTGCAGATCTTGGCCATGGACATCAACAGAGAAAACTACGAGCTGGGTTTGCCTGTGATCCTAAAGGCTGGTGTTGCACACAAAATCGATTTCAGAGAAGGCCCTGCAATGCCGGTTCTTGATAAATTGATCGAAGATGTAAATTCCTTTCCCCGCACTTGTTCGTTTTTCCTCAATCCTGAATTAGAGTACTCGAGTCGAGATTGTATTGCAGGAAGAGAATCATGGATCTTATGATTTCATCTTTGTGGATGCTGATAAAGACAACTACATTAACTACCATGAGAGGCTGATAAAGCTGGTGAAAGTCGGTGGTTTGATTGGCTACGACAACACGCTGTGGAACGGATCGGTGGTGGCGCCGCCGGACGCTCCGCTTAGGAAATACGTTAGGTATTATAGAGACTTTGTTTTGGAACTCAACAAGGCTCTTGCTGTTGATCCCAGGATTGAGATCTGTATGCTCCCCGTTGGTGATGGGATCACCCTTTGCCGCCGCATCAAATGAACCACGGCCGCCGCGATCAACACCA